TAATCAAAGTTATCCTTTAATATAACAATATATTTTTTGTTGAAGATATAAATCATTATTTATATTAAGCATCCATGGAAGAACTAATCTTAAATTTTTTTTTAAATTTTTATGTTTTGGTTTATTCAGTGGATTGCAACACTTTAGCTTATCTTTTAAAGGTTTCATTTAGAAAAATTTATTTATTTTTAACGACAAGTAAAAATATAAAAAATTAGTTTTTTTTAAATTAGAAAAATGTTAAAGAAATGAATCGGTGTTTGTGAAAATATTAAAGAAATCAATTTGTATTTTTAGCAACTGATTTATCGATTAAATTCGCTAATTAATTTTGCTAATCAGTTTATTTTTAATAATTTTAAGAAAAGATAAAAACAGCTGACTTACTTTTATTAATTTTTTCAGTGTTAAACATATGCTCAAAATTCAAAGACTTTGATCAAAAATTTTATAGAGAATGCTCAAATTCATTTGATACCCAAAATTTTTTAACTAGTTAATTTTTTGTTATTTATATTGCTTAAAAAATTTTTAAAAATCTTTGAAATTTTCTGGTTAATGACAATTTCATAACATTCTTGGTCTTGGTGGGTATGACTTAGTCTGGGGTGGGGGGAATGGGGGTAAGTCGGGTAATTATGTGATTTTCGATTTTTCCTTTCATAATTTTCCTGCACTCCTTTAATCCTGCTTTTTTGTTCGCATGCTAGTCGGATTTTTTAATTAAAATTGAAATATTATTAAAATTTTTTATCCTGCGAATATCTCAGAGGAATAAGGTTTACAAAGTTATATAATCGAATTTTATGATATATTATACATTAAAATATTTTTAATCAATAAAAAAATAAATTATAACATATTAAAACTATTATATATAGCGCCATCTATTTTTTAAAAGTATAAAATTAGCAATATTTTTTAAAATAAATATCCAGCCATGCTAATTGTTGAAGAAATTATTAAAAAAATAGTAAAAGGATAATATTTCTTAGAAAAATTAAAAATTGGAGATCATATTCATTTCGAAATATTAATTTTAAATTTTCAACTGACCATAAGATGACCCATATTTTAAAAAATATTAATTTTGATGTTTTTGCCATAATTATCAATTTATAACTTAGCCATTGATATTAGATTCAATTTTTGATCATATTTAATTTTAAATTAAAAACTAATTATTTAACATCAGTAAAAAGCAAAAAAAGACGTTTTTTGGACCTTTACCCCGATTATCTCCGCTAATATAATTGCTAATGCGCTAAAATTTCGTTTATGATCTAATGGGAACATATATAACCAGTCTACAGCTTTTTATTGAAATTGAAAGGGCTCGGCCGAAAATCTTGATTTTTTTGCTCATCAATAAAGAGTAAGGTTTTAAAAATATCTGATTCCGAGATTGATAGTCCAATGAAAGATGAAATTCTTATTATATAAAAGAATAACTTTGATAATATCAAAAAATCAACAATGTCAAATTCTTACAATTCTGCCTCAAAGATGGAGTGTAAATAAAATTTAAGAGGAATTCAACGTAACATCATACATGGCAAGAAAATCCATAATGGTGGTAAAAGAAAGTGGAATTCTTTCATTCCCAAAACATAAGGCAGGAAAGACACTAAACGAAAAAACATTTAAAATCGTCAAAATATTTCTGATGAAATAAGCCGACTCATGCCTGGAATAAAAGATTGTGTATCTGTTAAAGGCGATAAACAACCAGTGCAAAAAAGACTTATATTAAATAATCTTAAAGAAATATTCAAGATGTTTAAGTTTAAGGAAGAATACCCAAATATATCAATTGGATTCTCTAAATTTGCCGAACTTAGATCAAAAAACTGTATTTTAGTTGGAGCTAGAGGCACACACACTGTTTGTGTCTGCGCCATTCATCAGAATGTGAAATTAATGACAAATATAATAGCTGAAATCACAGCAGGAGAAGATAGCTGTATAAATTCTTATAACTATCTTTTGGCGCAAATTATTTGTAAGCCCTATCAGCCAAAATGTTATTTAACAAATTGTGATCAATACCCTCGTATAGAATCTCTTAAGGGCGAATTATACCAATTGTTTCAGAGAAATCGTATAGAATATGTCACGTTTAAACAATGGATCACGGTGGATAGAGCAAATCTTGAAACTATTATAAAGTTCGTTGATGATTTCATCGATTTTTTTTAGAAAAAGTTCAAATTTTACTGCGTCACTCGTTTATAGCTAAACAACAAAGTTTATTTTTGAAGAATTCTAAAGAAAATTTAAAAGATGGGAAATTTATAACAATTCTAGATTATTCTGAGAATTATTCCTTCATTTTACAAGATGAAGTTCAGGGATTTCATTGGAACAACGTGCAGGCCACTATACATCCATTTGTAGCATATTATAAATCTGGAGAAGATTTAAAAAATATAAATTTTATTATTATATCCAAATCATTAAACCATGATACTAGTTCAGTCCACCTTTATCAAAAAAAATTTATTAATTTACAGCCAAATTTAATTATAAACCAGAAAAAATTATATATTTTTCAGATGGAGCCGCGTCTCAATACAAGAATCGCAAAATTTTTCTGAACATATGCCTTCATAAATACGATTTAATATTCCTGCCGAATAGCATTTCTTTGCCACTGCTCACGGCAAAAATGCATGTGACGGTATCGGAGGAACTGTCAAAAGATTAGTTGCCATAGCTAGTCTTCAAAGGCCAAATAAAAATCAAATCCTAACCCAATTAGAATTATATAATTATGCTAAAGAAAATATTAATGGAATTCAATTTGAATATGTATCCAATCAAGAATATATCGAAGGGAAATTAGCCATTCGTAAAAGATTTAATTCTGCACTGCCCATACATGGAACCCAAAAAATTCACGGAGTTATTCCCATAGATCATAGATTAAAAACCAAAATATATTTAAATTCCAAAAAATATAATATAAAACAAGTTTCGTTTTTAAATGAGAAAATTATATTTAAAAATATTAATGGATATGTAACATATGTATATGATGATAAATGGTGGTTAGTATATATATATACGATAAAAATGATACAAACGAAGAAAAAATCCGATTTTTACACCCTTGTGGACCTTCAGCCTCATTTAAATTTCCTTAGAAAGATGATATTTTAGTGTTGCCTAAATCTCATATTCTCTCGCGGGTCAATCCTTCTACTTCCACCAGTCGAACATATATATTATCTCCTGAAGAGATCTCACAAGCTAGCCAGGCTTTATATTCTTTTAGATGAAGTAAGATTTAATTAATTTATAAATATAAACTATCATAATTAGGCAAAATTTGTGAAGATTTTAAAAATTTCATGATCTGAAATACAAATAAATATATATAATGCTCATTGTAATCGATTTAGTATGATATATATACATTAAAATATTTTTAATCAATAAAAAAAATGAATTTTAACATATTAAAACTATTATATATAGCGCCATCTATTTTTTTTAAAGTATAAAAATCGCAATATTTTTTTTAATGAATATCCAGCCATGCTAATTGTTGAAGAAATTATTAAAAAAATAGTAAACGGATAATATTTCTTAAAAAAATTAAAAATCGGAGAACATATTCATTTCGAAATATTAATTTCAAATTTTCAACTGACCATAAGATGACCCATATTTTAAAAAAAATTAATTTTGATGATTTCACCATAATTATCAATTATTAACTTGGCTATTGATATTAGATTCAATATTTGATCATATTTAATTTTAAATTAAAAACTAATTATTTAACATAAGTAAAAAGCAAAAAAAGACGTTTTTGGACCTTTAACCCCGATTATCTCTGCTAATATAGTTGCTAATGCGGTAAAATTTTGTTTATAATCTAATGGGAACATATATAACCAGCCTACAATTTTTTATCGAAATCGAAAGGGGTCGTCCAAAAAGTGATTGATTTGACATGGAATGACCCTATACCACAATTAAAAAATTGATAAATGAGTTTTAAAGTCTTTACACATCAGTCATCAAAGAAAAATTGGAATTATATGTTCCTTACCAGGATCGAACCTGGGACCTTCTGTTTCCTAGCCTAAATTATAACTCACTAGGCCACCCCGGCAATACTATATTCCCTTTATATTCCTCCATTAATATAATATCCCAATTAAATAATTGATAAATTAGTTTTAAAAAAATCAGGTGGTAGAGAATATTTCATATTCATTGATAGTTTGTAATGAATAGAATAAAATAGATAAACATTTACATTATCAGATATTGCTATGGTTAGCATGATAAAATCGTGATCTGAATTAATATTTGGTTGAATATAAATCACAATTTAAATTATGTGTGAACATTTGAGAGGTTTTGTGGTGAACCCTTATTTACGTGTTGATTTTTATTTTTAAAATTCTAATTTTTACCAAACCCTATTTATTGCGGAATATAAAACAAAGCATAACATTAAAATAGAAAGGGGATTAGAAAATAAAATAAATATTTTTTATTTATTTCTCATTTATAAAAAGACAGAAGGCTAGTCCTAAATTTTAGAAAACTACTGAGCTATAATTTTAGTCATTTATTTAACATATTATATAAATTGAATACTCACTGGAAAAAATTATTTGAAAATTCATTTATTACCACCCCTTAATTTGCTATCACCTCCAAGGAGTTGAAATTTATAAGTTTTATAAACAAAAAAACATAACAAAAGGCAATAAAAACAGTTTGAAATTTATTTATTGCCAATCTGTGATTAAAATCTACACTCATGGTTCTAATAACAAATGTGTATTAGACACTCCAACAGGTCATAATCAAATTTTCACAATTTTTTTTTGGTAGGGAGTTTATGCCTTTACAGCTATTAATGTCACTTATCACAAACTATTTTATTCAAATTAATAAATATTATAATAGTTTTTTAATATAATTATTTCTATTAATTTAAATATAAAGGAATTAAAACCAATATTAAATTTAATTACTCTGCAAAAATTTCAAAATCCTTATATGTATCACTTTTGTCTTCATGTTCAGCTAAATGATTTTCTTCTTCAAAATCAAATCCACTATAATGCATAGGATTACATAAAAATAAAAAATTAATTACCATGTAATTTTTATAGCTTTAGAGGTTTTTGATAATATTGACAATGTGTTAATTACCTATATATAAATTAAAATTTAGATAGTATAAAATAATATACTTTGGCAAAATCTGATAAATCATATAACATGCAAGGATCAAACAGTTCATTTGTGTTTAAGCAAAATAATATTTGACATTTTTGGAGAAATAATCTTATATTTCTGAGACAAAAAAACTTTAAAAAGTTTAATAAAACTTAACACTAACATATTATTACTTGCCCCATCTGTGGTTTTAATATGACATCCTTTGTATTTATACAATTTGGGTGGAGATGATTCAATAAATTACATAAAATGACTCCATCTCTTAAAATTTGAGCTAAATCTATAGCATTGCTAATAACTTTTGCATGTGGAATAGCGTTACAGCGAAGTAGCCAGTTTAAACATTCCTTCCAGTCAGTTTTTGACATTTAATAGAGTAGCTTGATTCATTACAATTGCCTCAATTAAATATGTAATGAGTGTTGAATTATTTTGGTTGAAAAAGTTTATTGTCTAAATATTAAGCGAAATATTCACTATCAACAATATTTTTCATTTATTTATAATATTTAATTAATGTGGTGTAATTTAAATTTTCATGCTCTGAATATTTACCCCATAAACTTCTTATTTCCTAAAACAAATCTAGAATTTTACAAATTATTAATTTCCAAAGATTGTATAATTGAAAAACAATTAATTTGAATATCAATATTATAAAGGTTAATTGAAAAGGCTAAACCACATTAAATGACAATTATATAAAAATTTTATACCTAATATATATAGTTTAGTATTAGTATATATCAATGGCGTCACTAGGGGGGGGGGGGGCGCAGGGGCTCGAGCCCCCTAAAAAATTTGAATAGCCTCCTGAAGCAAACATTTTTTTTTTGGAATCTTAACCCCTTGAACTAAAAATTTCTTTGATTTTCCCTGAAGATTTCTTTTATAATTCTATTAAGTAATATATAGATTTAATTTTAAAATTAATAAGACTTTCTAAATATTTATTAAATGATTACTATTTTAATTAGATTAGATTAATACATATAAATTATATTTTAACTATGTCAGCTTGCAATCAAATTTTGGGTTAAAAATAGAATATCAATATCACTCATTAAATATTAATTTAGCATTAACAGTTGAAGATTAATTGACTATTATTATTTAAATTATTATATAACCCTAATTAAATAAATAGAATCATTTATTATTTAAAAACTAAAAAATTTATTGTAATTAGGCGAGTACAAAATGACTAATCAACTAGAGGTGGGCGCGGGTCTAATTTTTTATTCACAGCCCGCCCGCTCACGGTTGCAATAAAAAAATTTCTACCCGACCCGCCCGTTAATTCACTCCCGTCTCGCCCGAAAATTCACAATGTTTTTAAATTTTACAAAACTATTGCTATTATTTTATATTTTTTGAATTTATTTCATTAATCATAATCCATATTAATAACAAAAAATAAATATATCAAAATTTTTATTGAGAAAAGGAAGAATGTCCATCTTTTTATTTCAATTGTGTAGGCCTTTCCTCTAATAAGATATGGTTACATAAAGTAACCTTCACTAAAAGCTGAAGGGCTGACAAAATATTGCTCGCTAATTTTCTCAAAATATTGTCTTGTTATTTGTCTTATGAGCGATGAATCTTTTAAGTTCATTCTCACAGCTTTCATCGAAGATATTGATGCTTCATCAGAATCATCTAGAAATTCTCTAAATTTTTTATTTAGAATATACGGTCTTTTATGATTTAGGATGAATTAGAAAAGTTATAAATGATAGTTGACCATTTAGAATATACGGGTTTTTATGAGTTTAGGATAAATTACGAAAGTCATAAATGATAGTAGGTATTAACTTATGCATATCATCTAATTTTATATCATTTAGCATTTTTAAAGTAGTTTTATATATATCATCATTTTCTTCTTTAATTAAAAACTTAAGACTTTCGAAATTAGGATCTAGAATTAAGCCTACCTTCTGCATAATATATCTTTCATTTAAAAGATTCTTATTCTGTTTTTTAAGGTTTTGATTATTATTGTATCACGTTCAGAAGGTTACCAAAATTTTACTAATTTTTGTTTCCATAGATAAACTTCATTTATTATTGGACGAGAATCTGCGCTCAGATTATCCGAACATTCTTTAAATATTAATAAAAATTATCTAACTCGAGTATCATTTAATATCAATTGTGGCTAAACTATTTAATTCATGCCTTGCTAAACAAGTACACCTGTATTTCAGAATATGATTTTAAAAAACTCTGTATCATGATATATACAGAGTTTTCATCTCTTTATTACATCTTGTTTAAGAGTGTGGTTTAGCTTGCTATTAGCTGTAGATTCTTTGAAATATTATAATATTTTTTATACCATTTATATTTAAGGATATTTCTGTTAAACAATTGTCAAAAATATGATGTATAATATTATTTAGTATATGGCATATACATGCTAGCGTTTCGTCATCTTTGAATGCATTTATAAGATTTGCTCCGTTATCAGTCACACAACTACATTTAATTAAACTAGTAGAAAGCCCGTTAAAAATGACGGGGAAAGAAATTTTTATCCATTTTTTTACGAGATGTCATGCCAGATCCCTCACAATATTAGGAAGCATATAATTATTAAAAAGTTACCCTTAATAATTTGTTAAAGATATTCCCATGTCAGGTGCAAGCTAATATAAATTTTGAGGTTCCAAGCCCAGTCGTATCCAATATAATTTTGAAAATTTTTTCCCACCTCGGAGATAATTAAATTTGAGACTATCATCAAAAAATAAAATTTGTATAGTTGGGGACTTATCAAGACTATTATGTTTTTCTGAACATTTATTTTGTATTTGTTGATTATTAATGGTAGATATATCAATATTTAAACAATTATAAGGAGGAAATAAAGCAGGGTTTGTTATCTAAAATAAAAATAAATAAAAATTTTTTAAAAAATGAATGCGTTAAACTTGCAGAGGAGTCAAGATTAGGATCAACTCCCTAGATTCATCAGAAGCTAAAATGGATGTATTCTAAAAAATAAAAAAATATAAGAACATTTATGCCTTTTTAGTATATATATACACTAACTTTATTATGTGTTGTTAGTATATTCTGCTGGGATTCACAATCCCTATAGCTATTCTTTTGTTGATTGACCTGCCATCTTTTTCTTTCATTAATGACGGATAAATCACCATCTGTACAATCATTAAGTGAGGTTAAGACAGGATTTGTTATTTAAAATAAAAACAAAAGAATAATTTAAAAAATATAAATTCATTGAACCTGAAGAGGAGTCAATATAAGGTTCAACTCCCTAGAAATAATGGGAATATCATCAGAAGCTTAAATAGATGTATTCTAAAATATAAAAAAATATATGAGCATTTCTGCATTTATATATATATATATAAGGCTATCTTTATTTTGCGTTTTTAGTAGATTTTGTAGGGTCTCACGATCCCTAGAGCGTTTCTTTTTTTGATTGACCTGCCATCTTTTTCTTTTATTAATGACGGATAAATCACAACCTGTACAATCATTAAGTGAGGTTAAGACAGGGCTTGTTATCTAAAATAAAAACAAAAGAATAATTTTAAAAAATAAATGCATTGAACCTGATGAGGAGTCAATATACCACCTCTACAATTATTAAGTGAGGGTAAGACCAGGGGCGGACTGGCCATAAGACCCAGTGGGCATTTTGCCCACGAGGCCGCGAGAAAATGTCGATTTTGAGGCCGATGAGAGGAAAATACCAAAAAAGAGGCCGGTAGGAAAAAAAAATATTATGTTGTTCACATTATTTTCTCTTATCATTTATTTATTTTTAATGATATCTATTATTTGAATATAAACATTCCCTGAGAAGAATTATCATGTCGTTTACTATATTTGAATGCATAAAATATCAATTACGTCGCTTGACGCTATATATCATTTACCACGTGCTTTTCGTTTTTTTTCTTCAAAGGAAGTGAAAACGCTTATGTTTGAATAGAGTGAAAGCTAAGTTTTCATTAATTTATATTATTATATACATTAATTTATTGTATATAGGAAACTATCTTCTTCTTAATTTATTGATCCTTTCCTTTTGAGTTGGGCTTGAGTAGAGTGAAAGCTAAGTTTTCATTAATTTATTATATTATATTTTTATACATTAATTTATTGTAGAGGAAACTTTTGTGTGCCTAATATTTGTATTACAACAATTTACTGATCATTAGCAAACAAACATAATATAAGAAAAGAAACACATAAATTGAGATGGAAAGCTAAGTTTTCATTAATTTATATTATTATATACATTAATTTATTGTATATAGGAAACTATTTTCTTCTTAATTTATTGATCCTTTCCTTTTGAGTTGGGCTTGAGTAGAGTGAAAGCTAAGTTTTCATTAATTTATTATATTATATTTTTATACATTAATTTATTGTAGAGGAAACTTTTGTGTGCCTAATATTTGTATTACAACAATTTACTGATCATTAGCAAACAAACATAATATAAGAAAAGAAACACATAAATTGAGATGGAAAGCTAAGTTTTCATTAATTTATATTATTATATACATTAATTTATTGTATATAGGAAACTATCTTCTTCTTAATTTATTGATCCTTTCCTTTTGAGTTGGGCTTGAGTAGAGTGAAAGCTAAGTTTTCATTAATTTATTATATTATATTTTTATACATTAATTTATTGTAGAGGAAACTTTTGTGCGCCTAATATTTGTATTACAACAATTTACTGATCATTAGCAAACAAACATAATATAAGAAAAGAAACACATAAATTGAGATGGAAAGCTAAGTTTTCATTAATTTATATTATTATATACATTAATTTATTGTATATAGGCTATCTTCTTCTTAATTTATTGATCCTTTTCTTTTGAGTTGGGCTTGAGTAGAGTGAAAGCTAAGTTTTCATTAATTAATTATATTATATTTTTATACATTAATTTATTGTAGAGGAAACTTTTGTGCGCCTAATATTTGTATTACAACAATTTACTGATCATTAGCAAACAAACATAATATAAGAAAAGAAACACATAAATTGAGATGTATATAAATAGTCAAAAGTAAAAAACTTATTTATATTTCATAAAGATAGTAATGTTTTTTTATTATTATTACTGGCTGGTAACTTAACAGATTACTTTATGCTTTATATTAAAATACAATTCTTTAAAAAAATTATAATAAATTTTATTTTAGTTGAATTGATATATTTTCATATATGCATAGAAATGCCAAAAGGAAATTTAAAGGTGGAGCTGAAAAATTAAGAAAAAAAAATGCTGCTGGTCTCAAAGCAGCTGGTGCTGATCCAAAACAACTTAAATTATCTTTTTTTGATAAATCAATACCAAGTATTTCAAATACTATTACTTCATGTAAATAAACTATTTTTTTAGAGATATCAACAACTGCCTCCCATTCACCACTACCTGAAACAACTACCTTATCTGCAACATCTTCATGTATTATGGCATCAG